TTGTAGACCAGGCTGGCCTCGAACTCACAGAGATCCACCTGCCTCTGCCTCCCGAGTGCTGGGATTAAAGGCTTGCGCCACCACCGCCCGGCCCGGCTTTTGTTTTTTAAAGCACTCTGTAAGGCTGCTAAGTTCAGTTCTCTCCAGAACCTCGTAAGGCACACTAAACAATTCACACAAAACTGGAGCTTATGTAACTGAAGAAAAAATTCTATTCTTGCTGAGTAGTGGCAAAGGTCTTTAGTTCCAGCGCTCAGGAGGCAGAGGCAGATGTATCTAAGTTCGAGGCCAGCCTAGTCTACAGAGTGAGTTCCAGGACAGCCAAGGCTACACAAACCTTGTCTTGAAAAACTGAAAAATAAAAATCTACTCTTAAAAAATTGTTGGACCTCAGGTATATATATTCAGTAGTGGAGCACTTACCTACTAAACATAAAAAAACTGTTAAAATTTTTTTCAAACTCTAGTTACATTTCTTATAGATAACTTTACCTTTTTCTTTAAATCAAAATGGAGTCAAGGTAGGATATAGCTCAGTGGTAAAGCACTTACCTACATCAACTGACACACACAGAGAGAGAGAGAGAGAGAGAGAGAGAGAGAGAGAGAGAGAGAGAGAGAGAGAGAGAGAGAGAGAGAGAGAAGAGTGTAAAGGAAGGGGAAAGAAAGGGGAAAACAATCTTTTGTTCTAAAGACAAAAGATTCAACCAATCTTTGGATAAACACTACACACCTTACACAGTGACAGTCTTACAGGTTCTTCAAAAGGAGTTCTGTCTACAGTAGTAGGTCTTACCAACTGGCAGTCAAGAGACATTTACTAGACACTACTGACAAGGATAGTAGGTTTAGCCGCAGTAAGAGCACCAGTGTTAGACACTGGAGATACTCATGCACACCTTATAATGCACTGGAGACCCAGTTATAATTTAAAAAAACAAAAAACTGCTCAAAATGTCATTAATTCTAGAGTTAAGAAACTATGCCTTAGAGAGGTATGGTGGTCCATGCCTTTCATCCCAGAATTCAGGAGGAAGAGGCAAATGGAGCTCTGGGAGTTGACACTAGGATGGTCTAAGCAGTGAGTTCCAGAGCAGCCAGGACTGCAGAGAGGAGAGTTTCTGCCTTAAAAAAAGAAAAGAAAGAAAAACAAAAAGAAATAACAAAAAGAAAAAGAAACTATGTCCTACAGAAATCTAAACATATTCTTTCATAAGTTTGCAAGCTGCTTGCATATAAGATAATCAAGGCCAAGCTAGATCATCTCTAGTAATTCATAAATTTTACTTATTATGAAAGAATGCTAAAAAAAACTTAGTAGACAACAAAAAAATGAAACAACTTTGTTTATACCACAGTAAACATTCCCTTTGAGAATACAAGAAAATGTCAGCAAATTATAGCTAAAAATTATGTATTAAAAAAGTGGCAGATATGAGCATAAATATAAGCCAATTTATACACTTATTTAAGGGCACTTTATATCACTGAACTGCAAATTTATTTTATTTTGAAATTCAAGTGAACCTTCAAATTATAGGGTACCAATGAGTTTATACTAACATTAACTAGTGCTTAAATGCTTTAACAAGTAATACAAAGTACTGTAATAAAAATGCAGGCCCAATTTTGATAATTAAAAGTACGTCTATCCTTACCAAGCCATGACAGTGTAGTGCATATTAACATAAGCAATCCCAAATTCTAAAGTCATGTTTGCAGACAATTTAACGTCTCTGAGCCTCAATTTTCTCACCTAAAAAAATATATCTACTTCAAAGACCTATTGCTAAGAATTAGCAATAATACATAAACAATAGAAGAGGAATGTTGCAAATGGCAGCAGCAGTAATTGGTAGCAATAATACAACCCATGAATATACTAAAGAAAGGCTTAATCTGTTGATCATCACATGTAGCAATCCACCTGACTTGACTCATAAACTGTAATGTATTCTAAGTAAATCTTAATTCTGAGCAACGCTCAACCACTACTTAAAATCAGTCATATTCTAGAGTATTTAAAAGATAAAAGGCCCATCTCCAAATAGTACTTTATGAAAGAATAGATGCCACCTTTATTTCATTAAGTACCATGCACATGACTCAAAGTTCAAAGTGCCCAGTCATGCAACTTCCCCAGTTTTACCTACTTCTCATAAATCCTTTCTCTGCACTGTACTGGCAAACACACATCTCTCCTTTAGATACAAATGTGAGTGCCTCTCCACAATACCTGGCTAGGTCCTTCACATTTATGTTAAATGCTTATATTTTAACTAATACATTCAGCAAATTCCTATGATCAGAATTCAGTGAATGGCAGCTATCTTTACTTGTATTTTGAGACACGATCTCTCTCTGTATCCCTGGCCATACTGGCTAGAACTCACTGCTTTTGCCCACCACCTCTCTGCACCCCTCCCCCAACCCCAGCGCTGAGACTAAAGGCATGCTCTGTAGAGTTATCTTTACAAAATACTTAGAAACAGATCAAAAGTAAGTCATTAGATCCACCAAAATTCTTAAACGCTAGCATGTGAATCAAACCTGATACACTGAAGATTTACATGAGGTGACATGCTGAAACAATTACTTGATTAGCTATTTAAAAATTACATTTATATTCTTAAAAAAGAAAATATATAGACTGCACTATGGGTCCTTATTGAGGTGAAAATTAATTAACACAGCCTACCTATGGAACTGGACATAATAATGTATGAACTAAATATTGGTTAAGGATAAAACTATCTGTTGGTTGAGCTTTTTTACATTATTAAATGGTTTTTTTTTTGAGACAGGGTTTTTCTGTGTAACAGCCATGGCTGTTCTGGAACTCACTCTGTAGACCAGGCTGGCCTCCAACTCACAAAGATCCACCTGCCTCGGCCTCCCAGTGCTGGAATTAATGGCGCATGCCACCATGCCCAGCTTACAATATTAAATTTTATCTGATCTTTTCGTAGTATTCTTTGCAGCTTACTTTCCTGGATTAAGTTCCTGTTACATTTACAGCGGCACTGTTCCTGGATAACTTGTGTTCCTTAGAAAAACTGACAATTTTCTTTAATTTCATACATTAGAATAAGCTTTTATTGTATTTGCATGTGTGGGTATAGAGGTCATGTGGGTCCTCAGGCCTGAACTCAGGTCATCAGGCTTGGCAGCAAGCCTCCTTTGCCCACGGAGTCATCTCCTCAGCCCATCACTTAAATAGAAAGTCACATCACATTAAGCAGATACATGGATTTTCAGGGCTTTTAAAAGAAGCGTTAGAGGTCTAAAGACTTGTCTAATCTTACTGTTTTAGGGTGCTAACAAAATATTCTCTTATCTTTCATTAAAAATATGTATCTACAATCCCAAAGTACATTTGCTTATTAAAGAAAAAGTTAAAATTACTGTTAAAATTTGTGAATATGTGAATACAGACATTCCCACTGTTTCTTCATTGTTCCACAAAAATACAAAGTCATCCTTCCATTCAGAGTTTTGGCAAATGAATACAGAGGTCAGAGTTCATGCTTTGTAAGACGGATCACTACTTATTTCTTAGTCTGTTCACTAAGTCTGCTAATATATCACTTCAATTTTGAGTAACTTTCTACATGTCTACTTGGAAAGATGGATAATTATCTGCAGACTCTGACACAATAATGCTGGAGCGCTAAAAGATTTGTAACAATTACTCATATACTTAAAATGCCTAATTTTTAAAAATCACTATTGACATTATTAAAATATCAAGCATATAAGAAAAACACAAATAGCACTACTTATTGGACAATGGAATGTGAACCTTGAGGAAAAAAACTATTTCCAGAATTTTCTTGCTAAATACAAACAGAAAATCTGGCTTTTTTGTTCACTCGGGTCTGAAAAGTTGTACTATTACTTGCACAGCTAAGTCAAATTATTAAATCACTTTCTATATTCCACATATGTCTGGCCAGTATTAATGTATTTAAATTTTGAAGGACTCACGGGTAGCAAAAGTCTTATTTTTTAGTAAGCTATTTCATGGTATGCTATTTTGTGTCCAAACAAACCTAACTCAATAATGAGCTACTACAATGTGCATCTGAAGAAATCGCTTGTTTTTACTAGGGCTCTTTTCAAAAGTTAAGACAAGTTAAGTACGAGGGACATCGCAATGAGGTTTCACAGGACACTAGTCACAGCGGCATTGCCCTAGAAGAAACTCTGATACTGGTAAACACTATTTTGAAATAAGCCACTCATCCACTTCATTATTTTCCCTAGATCAAATCATTTAAAATAACAAACAACTTGCCTTTCACCACACAAAAAGCTTTACATTGTCAATGCTGAGGCGTATGTACTGGTGGAGTATGTGGAAAACAGGTAACTAATTTAGAATTAATTTCCTATATGTAGTGAAAAATGCTTCAACGCCCCTTCCAAATACGATACTGACCATTATGTCTCCATGGGGCCCCCAACAGTCTACTATAAGGGAGTAATTGAATGTCTTCCTTTCCTCCATGCCTAAGGACTCTGTAGGCGCCGTCCTCAAAGAAAAGACAGCAAAGGCCTGGCAGGTAATACCCAGAGTCCCCCCTAAAAGTGGGGGCCTAGGAGGTGCGCTGCTGCCGGGGATCTAGTTACTCTCTTCCCCCTTCCCCCAACCTACTTCCCGGGTTTTCTCGGCCTGCTCCTTCCCCACCCCGGAGTCACACATCCAGATGTTGCCGCCGCCTCGGGGCTCTCTCTCCAGAGCTCACGTGTCCCCGACAAGTGCTTCTGCATCTGCCCCCCAAACCCTGGTCCTCCCCAGGCCGCCCCGCCGCCCGCGAGCCCGTCTATCCCAGGGCCCCGGGAGGGGAGGGAAAGGCGGCAGAAGGAGGAGGGGAGACCGCCGCTTCCCCATCGGCAGCGGCGGCCGCAGCGAGGCCGGCCGGGGCCGCCGGGGTCGCGGAAGGAAGAGCCCTCCCGCCCCGGGCTGACATGGGGGTGTCCGGTAGCTCATTTCTGACCTCCTCGCTCTTCAGCACCTCCTTGAACTCCCGCTTGATTCGCTGCACCGCGATGTTGGCCATGTCTCTGCCCGCAGCTGATTCGTACCCGCCTCCTCCGCCACCGCTACGACCACCGCCACCGCCGCCACCTCTTCCTCCACCGCCTCCGCCCTCAGTGATTCAGACCCGAGCACACGAACGCTGCCACTGCCACCCTTGCCGCCGCGTTCCCCCCTCACTGTAGAATCACCTCCGCGCCCGGCCACCAAAATGGCGCCGGGTCCGCGCATGCGCACCACGCTGACCCGGGCGGGCGGCGCAGCCGCTCCAGTGGTAGCCCCATACATCTCAGCAGCGAGCCCGCGCCGCGCCGCGCGTCTGTGCCGGGGTTTCGGCCGCGTGGCTCCGCCCTGCCGGCGTCTGGGGCGAGGAGGGTGCGGTTTCCGCGCCCGGTCAGCGGGGTCTGGGCCTGGCGGGTCCTCCCCTGCCCCTTTGGCCGGGAGGCTCGGAGCCCCACCCGGCCTGAGCCCCGCTCTAACTCTGCCAGACCCAGAGCCCACGGGCTGGAGGTGCCTCCCTGTGTCTAGCCGAGGAAAAAAGCTGTGCAGGAACTCGGTCCTGCCCTGCCGTCCGTTGGTAAACCCCCCTCGGGAAATCCACTGCCGTTGCTTTTGTTCTGGAACCATGATAACGCAGCTATTATTCGGTCATCGCAGGTATTACAGAGACCTTGAGGTTGTGTAATGGTTGGATCCCACGGCTTGTACTTGGTCCAGGTATTGCCAGGGAGAGGCCCGTGGTTGGTTTAAAAGCCAGAAGTTAATCTTTAGCCTGTTTGGATAATGAACGCTGAGCTGGAGAACTAACGTGTTTTTCAAACTTGAATGTCTTCAGGATCCCCGGAGAGCTTGTTAGATTGCTAGGCCCTATCCCTAGAGTGTGGATGGGCCTAAGAATTTGCATTCTTAGCAAGAATCCTGGCTACCTGTTTTTCAGCGAGAACGGCTGAATTAAGCACATGAAAATCTCTATTATATCTATTATAGTGGAAGTTGGAGAAAGAGACACTCCTCAGGAGGAAGAAGGAGCGTTAGACCTACAAAGGTGTTCGGAACTGGTAGGTTTCAATAAGCAGTGAGTGAGTATAATTGAATGGAGAAGAAGATAAACGAGTAAAATGTTTTAAGTGAACAAGAATCTTGAAAGGCTATTTGAAAGTAGCTAATAGAGCCGAGAAGTACTTTGGAAATAACATTTAGAGATAATGAAAGTGTTATGTTTCATGTATTTCTTCACCTAATCAATCAGTTGAATATTCTAAGACTAATACAAGCTGAGTATGGTGGTACACACTTGTAATTCCAGAACTCGGAGTCGGAAGCAGAAAGATCATGAGTTCGAGACCAGTCTTAAGAGTGCTTCAGGAGCCGAGAGGATTTTTTACTCCCCCTTCTGTCCTCTGCCACCTCCGTTGTCAGCTACGATTTCCTCATCTGAGAAGGTGTTTAGACTTCAAAGAATCCAAAATTCTGAAACATCTCATTTCCCTGAGTAGACTAAATTATAAAAACTTGTAGCAGAGCCCCCTAGTGGTTGTAAGGGAGCTCAACTGTTACAACTAAACACTACAATTAATTTTTGCCTTGATAGAAACCTAAGAATATTGTATATATTTGTGCCCACACGACTTAAAATACTTTTTATCACACTCTGCCTAACCTCAAGAAACTTAACAATAATCGAACAGAGAACAAGTTAGAAAGGTCTGATAATTTCTTTGAAAGATAGGGAGTCGGTAATGCTTCTTCTGTGCCGAAGCTTGACCCCTGGGCCTGTGCATGCCTAGTATGTGCCCTGCGAACTGTGCGTGCCGAGTGTGTGCGCTGTGGACTGTGCGTGCCGAGTGTGTGCCCTGCGGACTGTGCGTGCCGAGTGTGTGCATTGCGAACGGCCCGTGGCCCAGCCAGGTTGTGGTGTGTGTTTATGCTTAGGCAGGCTCTCATTATACAACCCAGGTCGACCACCAACCGAAACTTTTCTGACTCAGCCTCCCTAAGGCTCAGACTATGGATAGACACCACCACACAAGGCTCAGGTTTATGAATTTTTTAGTGCAAGTAATTATTTGAGGGCAAATCCCACTTTTGGAATTCATTCTAATAGAATAACACCTTAACAACATTCTAGAGAGCCGAAAGGATGTAGCTGGTGATACCTGAATAACTTCATGAGTAGGCTCATAGCAGTGTTCATGTCTTAGCTTTGGCAATGCTCCGCAGTAATTTACAATGTTCGCATTACCAGAAGGTGAGTAAAGAACATACAGAAATCTCTACTATCTTTGCAGCTTATCTGTAAGGCAGTCATTCTGAACTGGGCTTGGCGCCTTACTCCCAGAACCCCAACTACTTGGGAAGCTAGGGCCAGAGGTCAGCCTAGAGGAAGAAAAACAGCTGATCAAGAGAATGGTATCTCTGGTCTGGGTGGAGACCCGCCGGTCCAGCTGGGCTAGTTGAATCAGCTAGGGGACCACCTTCCGCCTACTAAAGAGAGAGATGGCATGATTAGTTCTTTAATGATGTGCTGTACTTTTCCTTCCCAGAGTCTCCGCCCCTCGTGCAGCTCAGCATCTGAGCTTTGTATGGTTGTCAGTCTGCCCACATTTCTGAATTACTCAGAAAAGTTTACTTTTACTGTTTGCTAAGCATGCTTTTCCTTAATGCTTGGGCTTTTCCCCCCAACATTTTGGGCTTCCTTAACTCTTTTTATACAGCTTCTCACTGTATGACTGTTTATTTTTCATGTGTCTGACCTTTATGTCACCTTAAATGGCTTCCTCCCCTCCCCATCTCCTCCAGCCAACTGCTGAAGTGTAGAGCTCACCTGGCTTGGGTTTTTATTTTCTTTATCTGTTTGTTCTTGAGAAAGGGTCTCACTGGAGCTTTGGCAAGCCTGGAGCCTAGTGGTAGACCAGGCTGACCTCAGAAAAGACCCATCTCGTGCCAGGTGGTGGTGATGCCTGCCTTTAATCCCAGTACTCGGGAGGCAAAGGCAGGCAGATTTCTGTGAGTCTGAAGCCAGACTGGTCTACAGAGCAAGTTCCAGGACAGGTAGGAGTGTTTCACAGAGACACCCTATCTGGAAAAGCCAAGAGAGAGAGAGAGAGAGAGATCCACCTCCTGAGTGCAGGGATTAAAGACATGCATTTTTGTTTTAATTATCTTTATTTCCATTTGAGTCCATCCTTAAGTTCTTTTATTAATGAGACTAAAAACCCAAAGGGTAATCCCAGTAATATCAAGACCTTCACTTAAGGCTTTTTTTTTTTAATTATTACAAAAGAATCCAGGCAGAGGTGATGCCTATATTAAAGGTGCTAGCCTTTAATTCCAAGCACTCAGGAGGCAGAGACATGTGGATCTCTGAGTTTGAGGCCAGCCTGGTCTACAGAGTTCCCTCACAGCCAAGGCTACGCTAATCTTGAAAAAAATATATATTACTAAAGAAAGAACTTAAGATGTGGGGGGAGGTGGGAGTCATGGCTTATGTGTGAAGGTTGTTGAGACAATTTGGGGAGTCAGTTTATCCACCGTTCGGTTCCAGGGATTGAGCTCAGGTCATCAGGTTGGCAGTGTTAGAAGTAATCTCAGGGTTGAGAAAAGAGCCCACCATTCCAACTGCAGTGTCTGCACAAGGCCGACTTTACTCCTGACCAATAAGGTGTGCTCAGAAGGACGAACACACTGAGACAGGAAGTGCATTTGGTGTTTCCTCTAACTCAGGTAGTGACTGTGCCTTTTCCTCAAGGGCTGGCTGGCTCCCACCTCCCAGTCTTGATGTAATTGGTGTAAAAGGAATTGGTGTGCAGGAAATGAAGGGAAGCTAAAGAAAGAAAGCGAAAGAGGTCACTGCTCTAGGTCATCAGATTCAGTGGAAACAGCAAACCTTGGACCTTAGTGTAAACAAAGGAGGGATTAAAATATTTGCTTAAAGTCTTACAAGGTGGGAGAAGTGATAAAAACACTTGGACTCCTTGTTTTAAACACAAGTTTTAGAGTATGATAGAAAAAGACCCATTTGATATTTCTACTACAACAAGCAACTCCCTGCTGAGCCATCTCACCAGCCCCTAGATCTGTCCCTGGTAAACTACTTCCTCTAGGACCTCCTTAAAAAATGTCTATCAGCTCCTCGATAATAGCATGAAATTATGAATCCATCAATACATCAATATATTGATTAGGTCAAAGCCCTCATGATCCAGCTGCCACTCAATGCTTGGATCCACTGATTGGGGGACCAGATGTTCAAAACATGCATGGTTTCAGGGAGATACTTGATGCCCAACCTATAACAAACACTATGCAATGCAATTCATATTAATATATTACCATTTATATGCCAGGAGAGATTACATTTGCTTATGTAGTGTTTGTGGATCTTTAAGTGGTACTGGAAAAATTTGTAAGCAGCTGAACAACAGTAGCCATCCTTGGAAAACAAACTTAAGTATTTGGGGAAAGAAAAGGAGGTTGTTGGGGCCTACCAGTGAGTGCTGAGCCTGACAATTGAGTTCTTTCCCCAGAAAGCACATGACTTCCACCATGCACGCAGGTGCACACAAGTAAATAAAGTAAGTGAATGTTACCATATATCCTGTTGTGTTGGCTTATATTTTTGTTTATTTGAGGCAGGGTCTCAGTGTGTAGTGAAAACTGATCTCCAACTTGTGATCCTCCAGCATCAGCTGCCCAAATTTTAAACATGTGACTCCACACTAGTCTGGAGATTGTTTTTTTGTTTTGTTTTGTTTTGTTTTTTTCAAGACAGGGTTTCTCTCTGTAGCCCTGGCTGTCTTGGAACTAGCTCTGTAGTCCAGGCTGGCCTCAAAGTCACAGAATCCACCTACCTCTGCCTCACAAGTGCTGGGATTAAAGGCATGTGCCACCACCGTTGGGCTAAGATTTTTTTCTTAATGTTCTCTGTGATTAAATGACAAAGTGGTATTTTAACAAAGTCTGCAGGAAAGCCACTTTGTGCCACTGAGTTGTGAAGAAAAGGCCACTTTATTCATGGGACACAGTTTTTACTGGAAATGGCTGAAGCGTGCAATATTCATGCAGACTGTTATTTAGTAGGCTCCCTGACCTGGAAGACTCTCCTGACTCTTCTTCCTGCTGCCCACTGAGAGTCTGAGGTCCACATACAATAGCCTCACTTCTCCCACAGATCACTGGGCCTCTTCACCCAACACTGGCATTTCCCACTAGTGAGGACTCTGGACTCTTGTGGTTTCTCACCTTTTGACCTCGTTAAGCCTTGGTACCAGGCAACCATGGCGCTCTTGGCCCAGAGCCTTTGGCCCCTGCTCTGTGTTTGACAAATCACTGAGTAGCCTGTGCCTTCTCGAAATTGACCCTCTCTGAATTCCTGGGAGGCTAAGAATTACAGACTCTTGGGTCTCATTTATCTGCCTCACTCCTGGGAACTTTGGCATCGTCTATACCTCCAGCTTTTGCACTATTTAAGGGCTTCTAAACTTGTCCGCCTTTGCAATCAGCTTTGGCCCAAATACCCCTTGGATATTGCTTTCTGATCCACTCTCTTCCACCTGCAGCCAATCTGCTTTCTCGCTCACTGGCAGCTTCACCTTCCATTCAACGCTGGCAATTGGGTCTCGGTGGGTAGCCTCTGACCATTCCCCTGGATGTGAGGCTTCAATTCTCGAGCACAGTCCTCTCCTCACCTTCTGGCTTTTCTCAAAGTCCTGATACCAGGCGACTGTGTCTCTCTCCGGCTCAGAGCCCTTGGCCCCTGTGCCTGCTTAAACTGCTCCTTTCTGAGTTCCTGGGGCTCTAGGAATTGCAGACCCTTGGTTCGATCTTCTCTGCTTCACTGTGGGAACTGTGTCATCCATCGTCTGTATGGCCACGCTCCCATTGAGATGTCTTTTGGAGACCCACTGACCACTCCTTTCAAATCAAATTTGGCCTCAGTATTCCTTAGACCAGGCAGTCAGGAAACGGAGAAAGAATTCTCCACTTTCTTTCTCTGTCTGCATCCCCTCTCTAAATGTCCTGTCTGCTTGCTGCAACATGCAGGTCAGATGGATAAGCCAGCTTCCTCTTGCTCAACACACCGGTTTTCCTTTTCTTTTTATTTACTCAAGTCCTGCTTCCATTTGGCCCCCGTGACCTTTCCCCTGTCACTTTTCCTCGCCTTCTCAGGAGACAGCCTTGCTAGTTTGGTACAAATTTGTTCTGTTTCATTTTTTACTATTGACTGCCCTCGGTAATCAGCCACCTGTGTCTCCTGGTGAATCGGCTAGAAAGAGGGTGTCGAGGTGCTGCCCCGGTGATGGGGAAGAAACAGGCGCCTTAAGTTGTGAGCTCCAGGGAGTCAACTTGGATTCACCTCAGACAGCATTTTACCAGATCCAAGTGGCGCCTGACGGTTCCACGGAGCCTGGACAGTAAAGTAAAAATCAGCTACCCCAGGACGTGGCCAGCACCCCAGCTTTCTCAGGTCCCCCAAAGATGACTGATGCTCCCCAGGTCAACGCAGTCTCAAGAACTCATCCCTGCCTCACCCGCTATCCCTTTCAAACTCCTCACTTTTTTATAATAAACGAAAGGGAGGAGGGTTAGTATTCAGGCATCTGTCCTGGCCTGCCCTTGGGGTCCTGACAGGATACTCCTCTGCTGCAGTCACTAAGGGCACCTCTGTGCGCATGCCTGCTCCCTCTCTCTCCTCCTCTTACCTCTTTCCATTCTCTCTCTTCTGCCACTCTTACCCTCGTGGTCTGGTCTCTGTCCTTCTCTTTGTCCCCTTTTCTGCCCCTTCTTTCTCCTCTTCCAATAACCTATGTGAGCACTGTATGGTGTGACTCCTTCCTGGCCGCTTTTTAAATTATAACACTGTGTCTCAAAATAATAATAATAATATAATAATAATAATAGTAAAAGGTTTCTGTACCCTGGTATTAAGTCTCTCCACAAATGTAATAAGCCAGATCAGGCCGAATAATTATGTTCATGTTTAATTTGAGCAAAGCATTCCCGGGTGTTCCCAGGGAAGAGGAGAAAAACCACGAGGGAGAGCCACGTGGCAGATTGGAACCATGACTTAAATAGCCTGTGGGTGTGGTCTTTAGCATCTTAGGGAGAGGAGCTGCGAGTGGCGGGCTTCCTTAGGGGTGAGGCCTGGAATAGGAGGGGCAGGGCTGGGTGGAGCTTCCCAACAGATAGTAATAATGAGGTCTCAGAATTTCCCTGTTTATAGGAAATATGCAGCTACAAGTGAGAATAGAGCCGCCCCGTTTCTCACTGGGATCACCGGTTGCCTTTCCCTAGGTCCTCTGCTAAGATCCCAATTGTCATTGCTGAGTTAGTTAATTCCTTTCACCTTTCTAAAGCAGAGCGCTTTTAGAGCCTAGAGTCACTGAGAAGCCACAAGGCTCACCTCAAAGGCCATGCATTGACCAAAATGAGAACCTACAGCTAAAAGAAGTTCACATCTAGTTTGCATTTACTGAATATTTTAATTGTGTCATTTGCTTATCGTTCATTTAGGAGCACAAATACTTCCTGAATACATCATCGTTTACTAGGTTGATCATGTTTGCTCTCTCAAACTAATTCTCTGTCCTCATCTAGTCTGCTCTGTGCTCTAAGTGCTGGAAGTATAATCTACAGTAGTCTCTGCACCAGTGGGCTCCCTTGAAATCTGTGTTCCCTTTAAGTATGACTAAAGGGACACTGACAGAGGTGGAGCTGCGGGGCGGGGCGATGATGCGTTCATTTTCTTCCAAAGCCCACACTTCCAGTCCAGTGGCTCTCCCGATAGCGCTTTCATCATTCCACTGATGTTACATTATTCAAGCATGTGGATTCCAGGGCTTCCTGATATTGTTAGCCTTTGTCATCTTTAATGCTTATAAACAATCTCTGTCAAATTCCTCTGCGTAGCAACCTTGAGATGAAGCTATGCCTTACTCTAAGTTACTAAACATTGTAGAACAATAGCTTTCAGGCTGTGCGTTGCCCTGTGTAAATCCATTTTTTAAAACAGCAGTACTCTTCGTCTTAAGTTCAAATGACAAGGCCTAATGACTTCACAACTGTTTGTGGAGGTAAACAACCACCATGTATCCAACATAAACCATG